GAGAGAGTTAGTGAAAAAAGGGGAATCAAGAATGAAGGTTCTGGTTGGTGAACTGGCAGTGTACAATAAATCTAAAAAAAAAAAGAGAAAAGAAAAGAAAAAGAAGAAGCCAGTTGTACCTAAAGAAAAGTAGGGGTCACAAGTGAAACAAAATGTGGAATAATGATTGGGTTGAACATGAAGGTGAAACAAAAGGAAGTGTGTATTAAAAGTGCTTAGGGAGGTTAGTCACTATATCCAAATATATCCTACCCGTCCCTTAGCCTACATTACAACCTATAAAGACCTCTTGATCTTTGACTGACTGGCTCGATTAGTGGAGTATTACACTAGGGGCAAGCTTATGGTGTGTCTGTGTGGCTTGTGAATGCTCTTTGCTGAGAGTGAACGAATTCTTTCTATATATGGTTCCTTGTTGTTGAATTTTATGTGTGTGGAACTCTCAAATTTTGTTTATGTGAGGGCATGTGACTCAGGAAGAAAAAGTGAGTCTTCACTTCTGTTAGAGTAATTAGAGTGAGCACAAGTGTGTCTTGGCATGAGAGCCTGCATTTGAGATATGATTGTGCACCGCTTAGGTCGATCTTTGATAATAGCAGGTGTGACATAAATTGGGGCAATGCATTGAGCAGTTAGGCCTAGAAGTGTGGTTTAGTTTGCTCGAGGACGAGCAAAGGTTTAAGTGTGGGGTGTTGATAATAGGTGAATTTGACTATAATCACACCTTAAATAATCACCTTCTTGTGTAGTTTTAATGCTAAAAGTGATAACAAAATGCTCTTGTTAGTGCTTTTCATGATTTGTAGGTGAAATATGTATAAGGAATGCTAAGGAGCAGTTTTGGAGTTAAAAGTGATGAAAAAGAGACCAACTGTGAAATTTCCCAAGTGAACCACACAAAACAGGCCGAAGATTCAGATCACTGGGTCCACCGCGGTTCCACCGCGACCGCGGCAGAACCGCGGTGGGAAGCAGCTGCAGAACCTCAGTGATTCCGCGAGGGTGTTTGGCCGCGGTTCTACCGCGACCGCGGCAGAACCGCGGCAGACGCAGAAATTTCAGGGACCAAAGTGTCAATTACGGGATTTTTAGACCTAAACCCTATTTAAAACATTAGACTTCGCCCAAGAGAGGCATGTATTGATTTTTAAGGTTTCTTAGCAAGAAAAACCATTGTGAGAGAATACTCTAAACATCTTTCTTCTTTTCTTTTGATTTTTATGATGAATTCAATCTTAGTTTATTTTCCCATAGCCATGAGTAGCTAAATTCCTTGTCTAAGGTTTTGATGGAACCTATTGGGTGATGAACTTTTTGTTTATGTGAATACAAATTGCCAGTTTAATCTCTATTTGTTCAACTTCGTGTTCGTTGTAGTTAATTGACAGGATCCTCAATTAGCTGTGCCTATTTAGTGTGCATAACTTGGAAAAGAGTGCATATTTAGGGTATTGTTGAACAACACCACTCCTAGATTATTAGAGGGATCTATAATTGCGGGTTTAAAGGCGGGATTAGGGATAACGAAGCCTTGGGTATAATCTAAAGTGAATCGTGCTAAATAAAGTAAGCTAGTGTATCTCGGGAGAGTGCAATAGTAAATTACTGTGATTACTCGGGAGAGATTTGCAGTAAGATTAGCGTTCATGATTGATAGAGATGTGTGGGTAAATTTGTATGAGCATAAACAGAAGGGATTCCATCAATAGGGGAAATCATTGCCTTAGCTTTTCCTTATAATTGTTTACAACCTCATTAGTTTAGTTTACAGCTATTTAGTTATTTGCAAGCTAGTCGTGAAAGAACACTCAACTGAGATTTGAATATTTGGGAAGCTGGTTCTGAAGAATTAGTGAGTCTGAAGATAGTAGTTGATAGGTTAACTCTCTGTGGATTCGACCCTGGGCGTAATACTCGGGTTATATTTGCAACGTCCGCTTTGTCCTTTTTATAAGGCATAGTTGGGCTTGATCAACCAGTCTCCACGCTTATTGTAGAAACAACAAAAGGGAACGATTGAAACAGCGGTAGCTGCGTCTATATCTTGTGACTGAAAAGACTAGAGTATTAATCGAAAGGAATATATATCTTGCGTCTATATCTTGTAACTGCGTCTATATATATATATATATATATATATATATATATATATATACTTGAAAGGAATTAGATAACCAATTCAATTCAATTTAATGATTAGAAAACTGAAAATAATAACTGGCACGGTTTTGCATACTTAAGGTTGCTAGAACATGGAATTAAGACATTAAAGAGGCCTAAACAATTGAATCTGAAAAATAAAAAAAGTAAAAAAGGACAAAAAAAAAATAGATTTTCTGGCCAAAGAGAAGTGCCAAGTCATCACTATTATTCCTAGCTTTATTATTCAGAACATGCAAAACAAACGGATAAAAATATTCAAAAGAAATAAAATGAAAAGAAACAAAATAATTGAGTACAGTCAAATCATAACAAAAACAATTGAGAATGAATCTGATTAAGTGTTACAAATAATTATTGTTGGAAGTCATTTAAAGACATGATTAAATTGAGAAAGTGAATCAACAAAAAAATAAGGAAAAAGTTCAAAATTATGAGAAAAAGGATAAATTGTCGGAGAGGCACGCCACATCACCTTTTACATTCCCAACTTTATATTTATATATAGATATATAGATTTAGTCAACTTAAAATTGAGGGCATTTAATTGGCAAAGATTGTCTAGATTAGGTGGCCATGTGGCCAATGTTTACTGGCTGATTTTGACTAGCAATTAAGTGCCTAATTTTGGGCACTAAATTCCTGACGGCTGATGGATTTTTGGTCCCACAACCTTAACTTCTTTACTTTTTACTTTAAGGGGTCGTTTGGTACGATGGATAAACAAAAATAATCGTGACATACAAATTTAGTACTGACTCATTTCATATTTGGTTACTAATTCTGGAATAAGTTATCCCAGGATTAAAAATAGTATCGGGATAATTTATACCTACCAGAGGGTGGAATAGTAATCTCAGGATAAGTTATCCCAGGATAATTAATACAGTAAAATTGACAATACCAAGATTAACATAACATACTAAATAAGAAATAATACCAGGATAACTGATCCCCGTATAACTACTCTTCTAACCAAACGACCCCAGAAAAGGGCAAAAACTCCAATTACTTTTCAAGTTCATTTGTATCATTCAGTTTATTTTCCAAGTACTATCTTTGAGGGCTTGCTCCATCTAATTTCAAATATCAGAAGTCTGATTCTAACAATTTATTAGGTTGAGCAAAGTATTGTTGAATTTAGTTATCTTCTACTATTAGCTAAGACTAGAAAAAAAGAATAATATGGTCTAATAATTGTATTGATAAACATGGAAAAAATATGTAAATTATTGACTTCTTATATCTGCAGAGACTCTTAACCCCATAACAACACTTCCTTTTCACTTAGAATTTGCTTTTCTCACTTTTTCTTTTATATATATTTTTCTTGATATGTTTCGTTGTGATTAATATGAAGATGTACTTTTCTTGAGCTTTTATAGTGTACGAAGCATCCCGCGTTCACGCAGGGTTTGAAGAAGGGTCACACCCTTAAGAGTATGACGTAGGCAGCCTACACTGATGCAAGTTGATTCCACGGCTCGTACCGGTGACCTATAGATCACATGGAAATAACTTTGCTATTGCTCTAAGGCTCCCCGAGTTAAGTTTTCCTTAAGTTGAAAAGCCACTAAGAAAAAGTTGCTTATAATCTGAACATTTTTATATGGTCCTATATAATGAAGTTGTATTTTTGATTATCGGTTAGGATACAGAATGCAGCCTTATGTACTGTGCCTTGGTGTAAATTTCTTCCTTCTTCACTTTGCTCACTACATCACATGCTCAGAGCACTACATAAATCTTTATCACCATGTCATTTTCTCAAGAGAAAATGCATAAAGATCCCATTCAATTTGTCCTGAAAAGTCATTTACACACCTAAACTTTACGGGTATCCTAACACCCCACTATTGTTTGAAGAACTATATTTATTTACTCCCTCCTAAAGCCTGGCCCAGCTATATTAATTTGAGTGGGAAACACGCGCTTCATAAATAGCCCAAAGAACTCCAGTACTAACATAAATGGCATATCTCCTCATATTATCCCAAAATTCCTCCATTAATGGACCTTCTGGACCCAAAGCCAATGCCTTATTTTGATCATCAAAACCTATTAAAAACAACATTACCCCAACAGATACAGCTCCCAATACCAAAAGTTTTGAGCTTTTCTTATTTAAATTAGCTTCAGACTCAGAAATATCAGTTCTTGAAGTTTACTTGGATTTGTGCAAAATTTGTTGAGCTATTGGTTTAACTAAGTTTCTTTTTTCTGCAGCTAGTTGGTGAATTTCTTTCTTCCCATATGGCGAATTTTGAGGATTATTAAGGGGTGAATTGTGCTTGAGTTGGATGAGTAATGGCAGATTAGAGCGTTGGAAATGGAGTTGAAGTCTCATTTTTTCTTTTTGTGAGATAGAGCAATGAAAGGTTGAAGAAGAAATTAGGGCTCTTCAATTGGGTTTGATAAAAAATTGGGGAAGAATGGATTTTACTGATGGTTGGGGGTTATATTGAAGTTAAAAAATTAATTTTTTCTTTTTTTTGGGTGTTTTTAACGATTAAAATAGAGCAAAGACGCGCTCAATTGCATTGTCAAACACGCGCTACTGGCCAGGCCTTAGGAGGGAGTAAATAAATATAGTTCTTCAAACAATAGTGGGGTGTTAGGACACCCGTAAAGTTTAGGTGTGTAAATGACTTTTCAGGACAAGTTGAATGGGGTCTTTATGCATTTTCTCTTTTCTCAAATACATATTGCAGCGCTGCTTCTTATAGTTGTTTTTATCCGGTAACTGAAACTCATTGTCTAGATTAATCCGGTTCGCGCTGCGTATCCACTAAAGAGGAAAGCGCTTCCTATCAAGAAATTATGCTACTTATAGCTGCAGGTACGCAACAAAATAAACAAATTCTTGTTAAAGCTTGAGTACTTTGAATGGATGATGTCTGCAGATATTCTACAGATCACAAATGAATTGCTAGCCACAAGGCTATATATAGAAAGTTATGTATTACAGCTGCAAATTCTAGAGAAAATTTCCAGCTGCGACCTCTTAAGGCTGAGGGGATCAAAGATTTTTGGGGTGAGAAGAACTTGACACAACAGAAAGTCATTTAGAACTAGAACTTAATGTCTCAGTGTCACACCCCTTTTTCACCAAACGAAGCTCTTTCCGTTTCCCATTTTTCAAAGACCAGAAATCAGAATAGCTTGGTGAAAAAGGGGTGTGACGCTCGCTAAGTAAAATTAGGTGTATAGAGTGGTGTGTCCTCTCCTAGCAAAAGAGACTTTAAGATGGCTTCACAGACTATAGTATCATAAATCAACAAATGTCCGCCATCAGGAACTTCATGATATTGTATCCAAGGTAACCTTTCCGAGACATGTCTTTGTAGTTTCAAATTAATAAATCTGTCTTCACAGCCATGCCAGATATGAACAAAATTTTGATCATTTTCAGGAAAAGGATTGCTAAGCGTCAAAGGATCAAAATCCCATTTACTAAAAGCCACGAGGAAGTCGCTACAAAGGTTGTTGAAAACACTTTTGCTCTTTAGCTTTTCCTGTCAAAATAATACGATGTATCAGCTTGTTAGCATGGAAAAAGAGAATGTTGCAGCATTGGTGAAGTCGAATTGACCTTACCGAGGTAAGAAATTGAAATCCAGGTGCGTTCTTCAATAGCTCTAAGTCCTTGGCGGTGAAGTATGTAGGTTTTGAGTTATCAGCAGAGGAAGATAGCGATGATTTTCGAATCAACCACCAATGCAATAATCGAGGAGCAAATCTTGCAACCAACGTCATCCTTTTGTACCACCTCTTCCGTTCATCGTCCTTTGTTAGAGAATCCGGGAGAGATGGCCATTGGTAATTCACAATGGGAACCACAAATGCCACCCCTGCTAACCTACAAAGTTCAAGAAAACGGTAGGAAGGAAAAATAGAAGACCTGAATACACATTCTGGATATAAATATTGACCACAACAGAGAGTTGTACTATTCAATTTTCCATCGTACCAAACACACCCTTTGTTCATTCGGGTTTCATGGTATCTCTTAGCTATATAATGGGAAGAACAAATGCCACACTCGCTATGTACCAAGTTGAAGAAAGGGCAGCCCGGTGCACTAAGTTCCCGCTATACGCAGTGTCCAGGAAGGGCCATAAGGGTCTATTGTACGCAGCCTTACCCTACATTTCTGCAAGAGAATGTTTCCACGGCTTGAACCCGTGACCTCCTGGTCACATGACAGCTACTTTACAGTTACGTTAAGGCCCCCTTCTACCAAGTTGAAGAAAGGAAAGAGAAGACGTGAAGTACACTGTGGATACACATATTGACCACAATAGAGACCTGTACAATTCAATTTGACAAGTTTGTTCATTCAGGTTTCATTGTAACTCTTAGCTCTATAGTTTACATTAAGTTTATCGTTGAATGAACTGTATTGCTGATATTGATTAGAATAAAGACCAACACAATTCAATTTGACATTTTGTTTGTTCCCGTTTCATTGTATCTCTTAGCTCTATAATTTAGATTAAATTATTGTTCGAGCCATGGAAACAACCTCCAGTAGAAATACAGGGTAAGCAGGGTAAGGCAGCGTACAATAGACCATTGTGGTCCGGCTCTTCCCCGGATCCCACACATAGCGGGAGTTTACTGCATCGGGCTGTCCTTTTTTTATTGTTGAATGAACTGCATTGCTGATATTGATCGGAATAAAAGACGGTACAATGAAATAAAAGCAAGAAATTTAATCTTTACCTATGTGAAATGTGTTTGATGCAACTCCAGGTTGGGTAAGATCCCATTGAAAAACCAATTATGTAGAATTTGGATCCTAATTCCAAGTGATCAGCTAATTCCTCAATATCAGATGCTTCACTCCTTAGTGATCTTTTAGGATTTGGATCACTTTCTCCATATCCAGCTCTATCAAATTGAACTATATATATTCCCATTTTGTTCATAAGTTCCTGTTACAAAATCTCAAAAACTTAACAAGCTATATATGTAACTACTCTTTCAAGAACATATATGGTGGTCGCAAAAATCAACTCATTTTTTTAGTAATCCGTCCAACCCCTCCAAGTTTAAACGGATTGGGTTATGACTCGGCCCATAGGGTTGAACCCGAAATGACCTATCAAATAGTGTAACCCGACGAGTCAAGATGCAATCAAAATCAAAGCATATAAAATCACATTTGAAGATTAGGATTAATGTAAAAGATATAATAGCTTTGACGTTGTTTCAACAACACCACCAACAACAATAAACTCAGTGTAATACCACAAGTCGGTCCGAGGATGCTGTTTTCAAAAAGCAAAATGAAACAATGAGGGGTCGGGTCATGTGGGGTTGAGTTATGACCCGTTATTTGATACATCTTGATGCAAACAAACTTTTAGCAGGTTGGGTCATGGCCCTTTATAAAGGGCAGCCCGGTGGCTAAGCTCTCGCGATGCGCGGAATCCGAGGAAGGGTTGGGACCACAAGGGTTTATCGTATGCAGCCTTACCCTGCATTTTTGCAAGGGGCTGTTTCCACGACTAAAACTCGTGACCTCCTCGTCGCATGGCAGCAACTTTACCAGTTACGTCAAGGCTCCCTGCGTCATGACCCTTTATGACCTGCCTAAATTTGATCCAACCCGCCTTTTTTGCCACATTTTTTCATAACATATCAAAGGGGCAATGAATTATGGTTAGATAAGTTACCTTAGGTGCAAGAAAATCTCTTTCTTTGGAGCTGTCAAAGCCATGAACCATAATAATTCTGTAATTTGATTTGTCTTTAGGAACACCTCTTTCTTTATAAGCCAAGTTTCTTCCATCAATTAATTTGATCTTTGCTGAACTATTAGGTTTAGTTTCTGATGAAACCATTCTGAAATGAATTTTTTAAGAAGATAAAAAATAAAAATATTTGTGAGATTTGTTTTTCTTGAGATCTGGTCACATTTTATACAAGAAAAGATCTCATTTTTAGTCAACCATTTGCCTAGAACAAGAAAGTCATCACCCTTTTGTAGTTTTGTGAAAATTTAAAAGATAAACATTTTCTTTGGCCGGCGTTAAAATCTGCTGGAAATGTTTTTCTAGTTGTCTTTTTTCTAAAAATATTATTTTGTGGTTGAGAGGTGGGGGTGGATTCGTTGAAAAGATATTTTTTAATATTGTTTGTTTATTTTTTATTTATATTTTGTTTTTTTTAGTAAGGCAGGTAAAAGGTTTTTGTGGGACTTCACTAGTTTTGTGGAAAGTTTCTAGAGAAAACTAAAAATTAATAATCGCTTCCAAAAATAATAGTCGGCAAAAAATATTCTTTTTTGTATATTAATGTATAATATACATATTTTTTGTATATTAGGCTAGCGAATGTAAAATTTTTGGCTGACCGGGCAATGTTTAACTTGCCCAACGTTCTCTGTCTTTTTTAAAACATTTTTTTTTTTGAAAATTTAAAAAGAAAAAGAAGTGCCATGTAAAATGCTCTCTTTTTTTCTTTAAAATTTATTACATCAGTGGTGTCACGTAAAATGCTTTCTCTCATTTCATTTTTCTTCTATCTTTTTTGTTGTGACAATTAAGCAGTTATTCATTTATAACGGAAATCTAAGTAATTAAAAAAAAAACTTTTATGGTTATAATTATGAAATATTTTATGGCCACGTTCAAGAGTAATCTTCTTTCATTATTCTCGAGCTTGTGTACATGAATGTGGTGGATGATTTTAGAGTTAAAAAAAATATTCCAATTGATTGTGCACATTAATTTATTTTATTGGTCAATGAATGAAAACATATGCTCTGATTCTTCTTTTCTGTTTTTTCATAACATCAAAGATAATAATTCGATTAATAAGATATTAGTTTGTACGTACTTGAATCTCAATCTTCAAGGAAGATATTAAGTTGACTTTTCAGAGTCTACTTAAACCCCAACGCCCGCCTATCTTAGGTAAAAACTTACTTGTATTAGGTGTTTATATTAAATTAATAAATACAAGATATGTATCTATATACTTACATTATAGTGAAATGATATGCATTCTTACATTATAATTGTAATCCGCTACTGTGTTAAAACACAAAATCTTAACACAAAATCAGAAAACTGTTAGAAGAATAAAAGAAACTGGAAAACAGTAAAGAATAAGAAATATTTCGAGTCCACAATTTGCTTGTGCGTCCTTAAGGAATTTTAACCCCCTCACACGTTGCCAAGGTAATGGATTAAATCCTCCCAGGATGAAACGGTATAAACCTTCCTGCAACANATATATGTTGTTTATATAGAAATTTCAGAATTAGACCACACACGGTAAAATTTATGTTGTTTATTTACGTAAAACTAATTTAAATATTGGTATACACTTTAAATTTTATTCAAATTAGTGCCTAAGTTCATTGTTCATTCTCTTGCAAAATATTTTTCCAAGAATTGAAGTCGTCCAAACGGTACCTAAAATGACCAGAATGAGAATGGCAACATAAACAAATAATGGGAGAAATAAATATGTGTTCACTTTCAAAATTAAATAAATAGAAGTTTATTTGCTATTACGAAAGGTTAGCTTTGTCATTTTACTAGTTAAACTGTATCTTTCTTTTTATCTCAGTCCTGGTTTCCAAGGATTTGCAGTAAGGACCTCAAGGAGAATGGAGGATCTATCTAAATGGGATACTAATATATAATATACCATCTCGTCCTGATTCTATTCAAGTTTTCAGGCTTATCTGAGCATATGTTTTGGTACTTTTGCAGCTGAGCAAAAGAAGAGAGAAGTTGCTGAGCTGATCAAGGATGTGTCCAAAAACTCCGAGGTTTTAACTGTGAAACATTTAAAGTAATTGTATTGTGCTTCGAACTTGTATTGGTCAAAATCTGACCGCTGCAGTCGGCCTAACCGAGACCCTGTTCGAGAGACGAGATCGCGGAAGACGACATGGTTTGCTTTAAAACCCCGTACTCACAACACCCGCCATGAGAAAGAACGATACTTACGGAACGACGAAAGCGGACGTGGTGCGAAAGTGTACTGACCATAGTGAGGATTGCGTAACGATATATAGGGGAGGAGTCTTTCATAAAAAGGGGGCTATTTTTCTCTCTCTTCCCTCTCCTCTGTAATCTTCTTAGCAAAAGGAAGGAAAAGTCATCTTCCATGGAGGATGAAAAACAGTCATCTCTATCGATGAACAAAAGAACTGTAATCCGCTACTGTATTAAAACACAAAATCAGAAAATTGTTAGAAGAATAAAGAAACTGGAAAACAGTAAAGAATAAGAAATATTTCGAGTCCACAATTTGCTTGTGCGTCCTTAAGGAATTTTAACCCCCTCACACGTTGCCAAGGTAATGGATTAAATCCTCCCAGGATGAAACGGAATAAACCTTCTTGCAACAGTGGCAATACAAATTGCAGGATACCAGCGAACTCAAAGAACGGAGCAAAATCACACTTACGAATTTGAGAGAGAGAGAGATTGTGAATTAGAATGCAGTATTTTCAGAAAGAAGGAAGTTTTGTGATTTTTCAGTGTGTTAAAAACGAAGCCATGCCTCAGAATTTATAGGCGATTATTGGAAGAGGTGTGATGTTTGTTCTGGAAAAGGTGTCTGTTCAGAAGTTTGCGCGTCCTGCCGCGGTCCTACCGCGGTTACGCCAAGACCGCGGCCAGAGTGGCCTTCTGAATCTGCAGCAGTGTTCTGGCGCGGTCCTACCGCGGTCACGCCCGGACTCCTTTTAAGAGCTTTAAGAAGTGATTCTATATATATACACACAAATTTAGTTGTCCCTCACCAATGAGGGACAAAGTTCAAGACAAAAGCTCACTTCATTCAAATTTTCATTTCCCTCCATTTTATTTCCCACCATTTCCAATTCACACTCTTAGACTTTAAAGCCCACTGCTTAAAGTCTTTGAAGCCCAATGCTTAAAGTCTTTGAAGCCCAATGCTTTAAAGTCCAACAAATATTTTAACTATAAAAAAATAAATTATTTAATTTGGTATAAATTTGGTGCGAGTAAGTATTTATAAAATAAAAAATAAAAAAAATAAAGAGGAAAGCAAAAACAAGGCTAGAAAGAGCAGTCTAAAATCTCTAGCAAGATATTAGGATCTTTTCGGAGCTTCTAACCACCCACCCCCACAAAATGAGGAAAAAAGAAAGAAAGAAAGAAAGAAAGAGGAGAGGAAAACAAAACAATTATAGCCACACAAAAATAAAATAAAATAGGATATTCCACAATTTTATTTTGAGGATATCTATGGACTCGATTGGTACGAGGGATAATGGATGATTAGTTTTGCGATTTTTGAGATGAGTTTTATCTCACGTTTGGTTGGGATAAATTACGGTATTGTAACTAATCACCGAATTAGTTATCCCGATATTGTAGTGTTATTTTTATCCCTATAGGAGGATGGGATAACAATCTCCGGATAAATAATTCCATGATAATTAATCATGGGATAACTTGTTTTCCTATTAAACGGCCCCAGGTGTATATATAAAGAGCAGTCAAAAAATAGGGATGGGACTATTTACTATAAATCTTTTTCAAATTAGGAATGATCAATATAATTTGAATTCACTTTAGTAAAAAGAAAGAGTTGTGCTTTAAATATGTGTGGATAATTTTTTTTTTTTTTGAAATTTGTAATCTTAAATAAGTTATTACATTTATATGACTATAAAACCTTCGGAATAAAAGTGAAAGTTTGTGTCATTATTTTCTAAATGGACTATAAGAAAATCGTGTCACATAAGAAAGTGATATACAACTAATCTTTTAAATATTCTTTTGAAGCCAAAAATTGAGCTAATATTCTACTAGTACTATATTTTGCACTATTTTAATTCCGCGCCTGTGTCAAATGAGCTACTTTCAGTAAAAAAAAATGTTATCTTCTGAGAAATCTTTCTTAATTATTATTTTGATGTTTTGTTGGATTTCTGAAGCAGGTAATTAACATACGGTAATTATAAACTACATGAAATGGTATAAGGAGAATGTCTTAGGGCGTGTTTGGTACGAAGGAAAATATTTTTTGGAAAATGTTTTTCAATTTCCATGTTTGGTTGACTTAAATATTTTTAAAAATATTTTTCTTATGAACTCATTTTTCTCCAATTGGAGGAAAATATTTTCCTTATCAAGAGAAAGGAAAACATTTTCCAAAACTCCTTCTCAACCTTCTCACCCTCACCAACCCACCCCACGCCTACCCACCTCACCCCATCTATCCAAAGTTCCAAACAGGCCTTTTTTTTATTTAAAATTTCAGTATTTTTTTCTGTCACCACCCACCCTGCTACGCCCCCTGCAAACAAAATTAATTTTTTTTACTTTTTTTTTGTAATTTTAAATTTCTGTTTTTTAGTTTTTCTGCAACTCCCCCC